TTCATGGCAACAAGGAAACTTCAGCTATGGATGATCATATCATGGACTCTAATCTAACCAGATCACCCCAGATAGTCTTCAAATCAACCGAGATGGAGAATATAACTTCTAGATCATAGCACAGAATTTCATGCAATTTTTTACCATGTTGATACTTTATAAATACCATCCATCTCTGTGTTAAAATTTGTGTTGCTGCAGTTCAAGTTCTAAGAAACAAAGTAGTTGTTTATTATACTTTATATGTTTTTTTTTTATTATTATTTCAAAACCAATTAAACACTATATTCTAAAAATAAATTTAGTCAAGACCAATTTGACTGGAAAATCACACAAATCAATTTTCTTTTCTTAAAAAGAAAAATAAAACTAGCCATATCTGCCATTTGCCAATCTGCAACAGAATAAATTTAATATGGTATATATATTTTTTATGATCTTGTCATACAAGGGAACCATATCTATTTCCCTAATAAAGAAAAAATTAAATTGGAACCAATTACGGTAAGAATACTGGGAAAGAGCCCATGCCTTCCCCTCTAAATAGGGCATGAGGCTTCAGCAGTAATGCACAACATAGAGTGAAGAAAGAGAGAGCAGACTGTAGACCAAGCCAGCTCCCATTATACATCTCAAGCTCCATCCTGCTAGAAAACAGACAACCAGATGGAAAATGCATCAGTCAAGTTTGCCTTCTTCGTTGCCCTACTACTCATTGCATCATGTAATTCCCGGCATGCAATATCTCTTTGTTAATTTTCAAAATTCTTTCCGGTGAAGATTGCTTCATGGAAAACAGCACCCATTATCTCTATGTATTATCTTCTTGTTTGAGTCTTTTATATATATATATATATATATATATATGTATATATATATATATATATATATTGATACTAATTAATCAAATGATGACAGGCTTGCCCAATGAAGCTAACGCAAGGGAGTTCTCAATAAAGCAGCAACAAAGGCAATGTAGAGTTCCCTCTGACTGCACGAGCTTGTGCCATGGGTGCACCGTGACACAGTGCACTGCTGGTCGTTGTGTGTGCAATTGTGCTAGCACAATTAGGTCAACAAGCTGAATAATTTCTATGACCACATTTTAATCTGGGAATAGGGATCAGTGGTCTACCAGCAAATTATCTGTTCTCAGTTAATCTGGGGTTTAGACTGTAGACTGAGCTCTCAAGTAATAAGAAATTGAATTTATTGTCCATTGATTTTCTGTTATCAATTCCTTATTTTTATAATTTCTTTTTAATCACAGGAACTAAAAGCTATAGAAAGGATCGAGACCAATTACATTCTACACAAGATACATATTAATAAAAAACATTTTTGGATGAATTTGATTATATGCAAGTATATATTTATGCCAACGATTTTTAGACTAATGTTATATATTTTTTTTCAACATCCTCTAATATTCAAATATTAGATAAAGGTATGGGGATTATTAAAATTAAAAATTAAAAATGCTTTAGTTACATACTCAATAGTTTAATGGGTTTACATAAAAAAAAATTAGCCATATATATATATAACATGTTTTCTTCTCATTAGATGCTTAAGATGTTTGAAGGAGTGAATATACTATGAACTTTGATACTTGGATTGAGATATATTTACAGTTATTTAATAGTGTAGTTATGGTTATTTTTTTAAAATTATTTTGATATCAGCATAATAAAATAGTTTGAAAACATTAAAAATATATTAATTTGAAGTAAATAAAAAAATAATTTTTTTTTTCAAAAACAAATTACAAATTATATTGAGAGATTATATGACTATTTAGAAATAGACTAATATTTCAATTTTTTTAAAAAAAACATAAACTAATATGAAGATACACTCTTAATTACTTAATTACTGTTGAATGATAAAAAACAGTAATTAAAGTTTTAATTATAAATTGATATTTTGAATGAAGCTAAATGTTTATAGATGTATAAATAACAGACAAATTTTAAAAATAAAGAGTAAATTGAAATATTTTCTCTTTAAAAATATGGAGTAGAAAGCATATATGTTTCAAAAGCTTATTTTCAATATTTTTCTAAAAAATTAATTCAAAATACAGTTAAATATCTATAAATTAGTATTATTAGAACCATAAAAATTCATTAAGTAATCAAGATATTATTTAGATTTTAAAATTAAAACGAGATCAAACAACAATATTATTTAATCACGGTTATTAATTTATTAAAATCATATTGATCAATACGACGCCGGGACAACCAAATACGAATAAAACATGAGGTGAATCAAAATAGCTATATCGTTATTTATATAATCTAAAACTAGAAAAACAAATATTTTGACGTTTTTAAGGTTTTTTTTTAAATAAAAATTAGAGAATTAGAAAACACACGTTTCTGAGAAAATAAATTTCATATTACGTTAGTAAACATGTTTTCTTTAGTTTTCTGTTTTTTATAATTTCTTTTTAAGAAAAACTAAAATATTTTCCACAAATAAACACAATAACTTTTGAGATTTTGTTTCCGTGATGATCTGAAGACCGATAAGAATTTATGTCCAAATTAGTACAAAATAAAAACTAGAACGATAATGATAGAACTTAAATATTCTTCCATAAATATTAATGTATGTTTCAGAAAGTAAATTTATGTATATGGAAACAAAATGCATGCACGATCTCTTCTGTAACTTACCAAAACAAAGCCCCCCCTCCCTACAAATCAAGCCAGAAGTCTTCGCACAGAGGAAAGAAAAAAAGAGCAGCAGGAGCAGTATTCTAATGAACATGGAGAAAACTTCATTCAAGCTGATGCTTTACGTACTTCTTTTAGTCATTATATGCAGTAAGTCGATTCTGATCCATATTTCGATTAACTTTTTAGTACTTTTAACCTGTTTGCTTATCGTTTGCAAGTTGATGAATTTTAAGAAGAATCATAAAAAACGAAAGAAAATCAAAGAAGAAGAAGAAGAAGAAACGTTGATGAGAGTATCGATGTGCATGGAGAAAGACATTACTTAAGAAGAACAAAAATGACTTGCAGGTATTAGGAATGGTGCTGAATCGAGAGAGATGATGGCAGGGAAGATAGAGGAGGAGCAAGAGGCCATAACAAAAGGGGAATGCCTGTATAAAGAGGACTGCGAGTTCGACGATGTTTGTCCTCCTGATTTGCATTGCGAGAGCGTGTACTGTGAGAAGCAATACAGGTGCATGTGCAGGAGGAAAAATAAATTAACAATTCCATGCCATATATTTTAAAGCAAGGTTAAATCTTTTTCTTGAAAGAATAAATGTATCCCTTTTGTTTGATGATGATGATGATCCAATCTTATTTGATGAATAAATGACACAGAATTTGTATTCTGAAATACTTTAATTAATTAATTATTCTATATTTCAATTTCACCCTCGCCTTTTATTTTTCATGTTTGTTTTTCACAATCATATATTTATTAGTTCAAAAAAATTATCATATGGTTTGGGTTTCAATCGTGTTATTCTATTTATAATTGTTGCACCCAACCCTGGGTCTTGCCTAATAATTAATTAGAAAATTATAGTCATTGTTACATGCATTGCGAGATGCATCATATTTTTGCAAGGTGAAAAGAAAAAAGTTAGGGGGGTGTTAATATGTTTTCTCATAGGAAGGAGAATTTTAAATGGTAAAGGGTAGATTTAGTGAATTTAAAATCAACTTGAATAATTTATAAAAATATAATATAATTTAAAATTTTAAAAATTATATTTTTTTAAAAATATTAAAATAACAGTAAATTAGATTGATTTAGATCAACAAGTTAAATATATAACTTGAGTTATAAGAATCATGATAATCTTATAAAAATAAATCAAAATAAATTATAAAATTTGATTCTAATTAACTTAGTGTAAATAATGAAATAAAAAAATGATTCAATTTATCCCATTAAACCAAGTCATAAAAATAAAATAGTAACATAAAAAGTAAAATAAATTATGTAATAAAATTAAATTCTTAAACAATTCAATACTGAATAATAAAAATAAAAAATATTAATTTAAAAAATATAAAAAAACTCGAGTTAATCTATTTAAACTATAACTTAAATGATTAAACTAACTTAAATGGTTAAACTGTGATAATTTTGTATAGTGATTTCTTTCAATGAAACTAAATTAAATAAAAAAAGCAAGAAATAAAATATGATGTACTTATTGCAGCTGGGCATGGATGAACAGCGCATCTACCCATGAAAAGAAGGCATGTCACATGCATAAGACCTCTATGTATTTTTTATATTGGAGGGTGGAAAATGCGTTGTTTGCAGTGGTCACGAGTTTGGTAGTCAGAGAATTGCTGGAAAATTGAATAGGGGCTAATAAGTCATTTTTCAATCTTTTTTTTTTCATTACTTAAACGAACAAACTATCATTAAAAATAAAAAATAAAAAATTCAACTTAAATCGAAAAACTTTATAGAGCCTCAATCTTCCGAACAAAATAAAAGTCAAAAAATAATTTAGAGAAACTTTTCTCATCAAATTAACTAGGTTGACACTAAAATTTTTTCTTTTTCTTCAACCAAATCCTAATAAATCTCTTCTTTTCTTTTAATTGAATGACTGAAAATTAAAAAAAAATAAAGTTGTAAATCAAAAATGAATTTTTAAAACTAAAAAGATTGAAAATGTGAACCTTTCATGACAATTTTCAAAGCACCACTTATTTTCCTCTTGTTTTTAAGTTGATTTTATGTTTACGAATCTTGGGTTTTTTTTTTTAATAACAAATTAGAAGTAATTAGACATCAATTTTGCCTCCAAAGGTTCAAATCAAAGAAAAAACAAATTGGATGACCAAAATGAAAAATAACACGAATAATAAAAACTGGAGTTCCTACCCAATACAACAGCCCAACTCGAGTACTTGTAACCCAAGCCCATCTATCCCTATCCTGCTGACACAAAAATGCAGAAGAAAACATATCAAACAGTAAATATATATATATATATTGTTTTTTTTTCATTTTAGTGAGGGCAAAGAAGAAGAAAAAATAAGAAAAGGAAATGGGAAGAGAAGTATCGAAGAGTTGCATGGATGGTCTCGTGACAGAAATGGTGTCATCATACTGCACTCGATTTTACTCTAACAAACCAGAACTCGCTGCCCGCCGCATCGAAGCCATTGGTTATCAAGTAGGCCATCAGCTCTCGGAACGGTACAGTTCTCCCTCTTTCACTCCATGGCAAACCCCTCATTATTTGTTTCATTTTATTCTTGCTGATTCAGTTGTGGGTTTGATTAGGTACACAATAGAACGGCCTCGTTTTACTGATCATTTAGAGGCAATTAAGTTCATATGCAAAGATTTCTGGTCGGAGCTGTTCAAGAAACAGATTGATAACTTGAAGACTAATCATAGAGTAAGTTCTGTTAATTATTTTTATTTCTTATTTGTGGGTTTTTGATTTTGAATATATATATATATATATATATATATATATTTTAGGGTACGTTTGTGTTGCAAGATAATAAGTTTCCATGGCTATCACGAATGTCGGGGGATGATCTATCGGTTGAGAATGGAATGGAGGATCCTGAAAGTAAAGGTGCACAAGCAATGAGCATGTATTGCTATTTTCCTTGTGGGATTATAAGGGGTGCGCTTTCGAATCTGGGGATTCCCTGTGCTGTTTCTGCTGATATTTCCAGTCTTCCCGCGTGTGAGTATGCTAGATCTTGACTACTTGTTTCGCATTTTGTTAATCAATGAAGGAATATTAAGATTTGGTGTGCATTCAAATATTAATTATGAATTATGATTAGCTTATAGGAATTTTAGCTGCTAGCGTTTTATTTATAAAGTGAAATTTGCTTGTTGAATTCCTTTTTAACAAACTTTGTTGTTGCTGAATTATTAAACCGTGGGACTTTGAGTCCATGTTGCATCTGCAATGGGATGCTTTCAAGTGGTTCCATGGCCTTTTAGATTATATTTCCACTGGAATATTTTTAACGAAGTTCATAATTTGTTTAGCCCTCTTAATGCGAGGAATTGAATTTCACAAATTCTTTTGTTCACAACAGAACAGATCACTAGTTTATTATTGTTTGCATGAGGAGTGCTAGCACCAAATGCTTGCTTTACTACTTTTCCATGTTTGAGTGAAAAAGTAAAGGCAAGATAAAACCTCTGTCACTGGTTAAACCGAGCAGACAAAGACACCTTTTTTCCCCTGTCCATGGCTGCTAAAGCCCCTCGTTTCTTGAACCGGAACCAACCACAGTCAAAATGTATACATCGAACACATCTTCTCACCCTCATCCTTGTGTTATCACTATGTGACCATCTTGTATGGATTGATATTAAGAAAATGAGAAAAAATTGAACACTCTTGTTTTAAAAAATTGATCAAAGAATGAAATTTTAATTAAATTTTGATTTTAATCTCTTATTAGGAAATTAAGAAAGGGTTATGAGTATAAATTTTGTTTTCACGATTTTAACCACAAACCAAACCCTCAGTTCATGTTGATTTTGAAATGCATGAACTGTGTCGACTTTGATTGACTAGCTTGAGACTAGCAAACAAGAGGACCTGCTGATTGGTGCCTCTATAAGTTTCAGGAGTTGCAGATTTGAGTTTTCTGTTTGGAAGGTAGAGACTGGGTGATAGTTGTTGTAGAAAGAAACCATTTTTTTGAGTTCTCACATGTAAATATGTGTAAAAATCATTCCTCTGTCAGCAATACATAATGGTGGAACTATAGAAAATGGGAATCCAGACAAGCAGAATTTTGAAGAGTGGTTTTGTTGTTCTTCTGTGATAAACTTGTTGGAGATAGAGATGATCCATCATTACTTTGTTGCATTGTTCTGAGAAAGTAAGAGAACAGAGAAATATAACCAGAACCAAAATCTAGGTTGGCTTCAATTTGTTATAGAGATGTAGGAAGTTACATAGCATGTGTCATTGTGAGCGTTGAAGTGACTGCCCCTACCACTCTTCTTGATGAAACACTGCATTTTGAATAACAATATCTCACCATATCTGTGGTTATTCACATGAACAGGTTCATTTGTGATCAGTGTCAAGGCTTGATTGGCATCTCACAACAAATGCGCGTCGAAGAACGTGCTTGCCACCAAATATGATATTTGGCTCCCCGCCTTTTCTCCATGAAAATGCACTTGTTTGAGAAGTTCCAAGCATCCCACAAAATGTGTCCAAAGTTGCAGCAGTGGAATATTTTCAGAGGAATTCCTGTTCCATGTATGTACCGGAATTTTTACTTGTATAAGGTTATGTTGATGATATTATTGTTTCATTAAATACAACCTGTAAGTGATGCCATTGTTCCTGAATACTCTTTTTTATGCAGCAAGTGGTGAGTTTGAGTACTGTGGTAACTCATCAATAGCAACACCATCTGAATTCTTTTTAGGAAATGCAAATAGTGTTTCATTAAATTTATTTTTTAAAATTAATTTTTTTTTATGGAAGTTAAAAATGATTTTTAGAAATTAAAAAATATTATTTTAATATATTTTTAAATAAAAAAATATATCACTGTAACATTTCCAATCCTTCTTTAATAATCGAGAATCTATCTTCACAATGTAATTATCCAGACACTAAAATTGATTTTTATCAACGAATGTTTGCATCAAATGCCTCATGGTAGCGACAGGTTCTTCGAAATTGGCAACTTCAAATAGTCTCCTCTCATATTATTTATTTTTAGATTCCTTTCATAGTTAGTTTTATTAGTTCTTAGTACTTTTCCTTTTCCAAAAGAAAATTCGAAAAGGTGTTAATTCAGTTGTTGAGAATGAAATGATTTATTTTATGAAAAAATAAAAAATATCAAAATTACAATTACTTCTCATGAAATATCAATGCCATCATTTATAAGTTTTAGGGCTGATCTAATTATAGAATATTAATTTAATTATATTTAAATTAAATTTTATCATGAAAAGAAAATTTATATTAGAATTATAATAAAAATAAACTTATAACACTAACTAAACATGAAATATAGAAAAATTATTTTAATTTTTTACATTACCAAAAAAATAATTGTAATAGAAAAAATTATATTGTTGATGCATTTTTTTATTTAAAAAATAGTGGACAACATGTAAAGAAATATTATGGATAACTTCTAATATCTCAACTACTAACTATTTGAGCCCTTACACTAACCGGTCAAGTCTTTGCAACTTAAGGTTTATTTAGTGGTGTAAATATATTTTCTTTATTTTTTCTGATTTATTTTTCTAATAAACATGTTCCCTTTAGAATTCCTTGAAATCTCTTCCATAAGAATCATTCTACATGCTAATATTAGATTACTTGGTTAGTTATAGAATTCGACCGAGTTTTATTAGAAAGGAGTTGATTTGGGTAAAACATTCAAAAATATGGGTTAACTTTATATCTCGTCAAAATCCATTAATTCTTTTTAAAAAAATTTGTTATAATTTTTTTCTTAGTCAAACTTCCTAATTCATAATCTATCAACAATGGTATATGTCATAGCTCAATCTTTAACTCCTTTTATTTTATTTTATAAAAGTAATAAAAAATGATAAAATGAAATGAAATAAATGAGGTATAAATTAAAATTTGGGTCAAGACAACATAAATTGAAAGTTTGGGGACTTAATTAAACTTGAAATTAGTTTAATTAATGAAATCAGGGGCTTAATTGAAAAAATATCAAAGTTTGGTGCTGATTAAGGTTAAAATTGCAAGAAATTAAAGTTAAAGGACCATTTTGTAAATTAATATAAAATTAAGGGGTCCAATTAACATTTGCCGAGGGTCTTGATTATAAAAGTTCATAAATTAGGTGATCAAATTGAAAAATAGCCATTAAACGGCGTCGTTTCTCACCAGTAAAGGCACCATGGACCCCGTCTCCCAGCTGCTATCCTTCTCCCCCATGATGCACGAATGCTTGGCATTCTCTGGCTACAAAAGCCAGGGAAAAAGCCACGCAGGGGGGAACAAAGGAAGGAACAGAAGAATACGAGGGGGAAAAACCATAAGGAAACGGGGGGGCACAGGACATGAAATACACACAGGGGGGACGAGCGCACTGGACGAACGTGAAAGGGAGAAGAACGAAACAGGGGAGAGCTGACAAGAAACAGACCCAGAACAGGAGGTTTAACAGAGAACGGAACATGGAGAAAGAACATGGGGGAGCGCACTGGACAGAGGGACGAAGAAGACCACGAACAAAAACAGAGAGGGGGGCTTTTCCAGACTCAAAACAGTAACACAGGGGAGGATAATAAACAAAAACAGAAAGACCGAGAAGAAAGATCAGAAGAAGAGAAGAAGAAACAGAGGAGCTCCAGCAGACCACGTAAGCCTTTCTTCTTCTCTACCCATTTTGTAGCTTAATTCGTTCAGCACGCTTCCTTTCCTTTGCATTGTAATTCACTTGCTAAGTTGCTACAGTAGCTGTGAAATATAATTCATTTGTTTACGTAGCAGGCGTCCTGCTACTTGCCCAGTGACCCGGCTGGACCGGAATATTTTTGGGTCAAGAATGTATGTGGCAAAGCTCAATTTTATACGAATTTTCTTTAATTTATTCTCCTTCACTTTAATATTTAGCTAAACAAGCCTCTTTGTAATTTCAAAATATTCCAAAAAAATTCATGGATTTTTTTAAAATTTATTTGTAAATCCCTCAAATTCTTTTTAGATATTTCACTTCATAATTTATCTATAAATATTTAATGTAAAATATAAATTTGTTATACAATACATTTTTTAAATTTATTTTTAAAAATATATATGTATTGATTTAATTTAATTTTATTGATTTATTCATTTATGTTATGACGAGGAAAATCATATATTTTTTTTAACTATATCATATTTATTAATACTAATATAAAATTTATAGTTGAATATTTACTGATATTCAAATTAAAACTATTAAAGTAGATCATTAACAATAAATTCTTAGTAATTTAAAATAAAATAAAATATTTTAAAAATAATATTATATTTTTTTACATAATTAATTTGATACTATAAAATTTTTATTAAATAATTAAATTTTTTAATAATCATAATACTATACAAAAACTCTTTAAACAAGAAATAAGATATTAGCATCACTTCTGGCCCTTTTACTTGTTTTTGTTAATTATTACTGATTTGTTTAACTTT